TTCATTTATTTGACAGCGAGAGAGGGAACACAAGCAGGGGGAGTGGGAGAGGGGAGAGGCAGGCCTCCTGCTGAGCAGAAAGCCCAACGTGGGACTCAATCCCTGGACCCTGGTACTATGACCTGAGCCGAAGGCAGACACTTAATGACTGAGCCACCCAGGCGCCCCTACCCCTTTGATTTTTTTGTTTGTTTGTTTTTAAGATTTTATTTGACACAGAGAGAGAGACAGCGAGAGAGGGAACACAAGCAGGGGGAGTGGGAGAGGGAGAAGCAGGCTTCCCGCAGAGCAGGGAGCCCGATGCGGGGCGCGATCCCAGGATCCTGGGATCATGACCTGAGCCGAAGGCAGACGCCTAACGAATGAGCCACCCAGGCGCCCCACCCCTTTGATTTTTAAAACAACAATCACAAAAAAAAGTGATTTAAATTTTAAGAAAGAAGAAATACGTGGAATATAAATACTTTATTTTGAAGCCATTTTCATCCTACAAAATAAATAAGACTAGGACCATATGTATGTGTGTTTTTTAGTTTGACACTGATCTGTGATGCTCTGGTCTTGGGGATCCTGAAGCTTTTTGAAGTGTTTTGGTAAGGGAGGCTATTGTGTGCACAGGTTTGTTTTGTGTCTGTTTGATAATCATTTCCCCACTGGATCACTGGATCAGGCAGATTGGTTGTTGCATAAGTTAAATTCCTACTGTATTTTCTGCTGTGGTTCATAGTGGTTTTGTATTTTTTTTTAAAGATTTTATTTGTTTATTTTAGAGAGAGATAGTGCAGGGGTGGGGCGGGGGCAGAGGGAGAGGGAGAGAGAATCCCGAGCCCACTCCAAGCTGAGTGAGGAGTTTGATCCCAGAACCTTGAGATCATGACCTGAGCTGAAATCACGAGTCGGACGCTTAACCGACAGCCACACAGGCACCCCTGTAGTTCATAGTATTTTTAAATTTCTTTCTATTTTTTTCTCTAGAAAGAATGATATGAGTTCTATAATATTTATAAATTATATATTGACAGATTTAGGGCATTCATATTTGTCCTTCCTGTATGAGACCAAAATACTACTTTTTACATTTTATTTTTTTTAAAGATTTTATTTATTTATTTGACAGAGAGAGAGAGACAGCGAGAGAGGGAACCCAAGCAGGGGGAGTGGGAGAGGGAGAAGCAGGCTCCTTGCTGAGCAGAGAGCCCGATGTGGCACTCGATCCCAGGACTCCAGGATCATGACCTGAGCTGAAGGCAGATGTTTAATGACTGAGCCACACAGGCGCCCCCAAAATACTACTTTTTAAAATGACATACTAATCAGTTATTTTAGCTGTAGCTAAAATCTATGAATTCAGTGTGTTATTAGAGTGGCTCTGCAAAATTATTTGGATTTTATTTACCATTTACAACATAAGCTTAAGAAAGGTGAAATGTCTCTAATATTCATATACTTCTGGATTTAATTTAGCTTCTAATGTAGCTTCTAAAGTTGCTGCAGCAAAGGTAGTGTGGTATAAAGATTGTTAGGGGGTCTGCTGACTGTTCGTGGAGGATCTCAGCATGGCCGCATTTTGGTGCTGTTGTAGGCTTGTAGATGTAGAAAATCAGAATTGATTAGGCTCTTGGTTATTAAGTCTTTGAGACCAAATTTAAGAGATTTAAAAGTCAATCAAATTATATAATGGCAATCATGTAGTTTAGAGAAAGACCTGGGTTCATACTCTGCTTTGCTAGCTGCTGCTTGTCCTGGGAAAATTTCTCAATTTCTTATTTCCATTTTTCTCATGTGTAAAATGAGATTGAAAAAAAATCACCTCATTTTGTATTATATATATTTTACCACAATTAGAAAAAGTTAAGGGAAAAAATTATGTCAGCATTGATGTGAGGATTAAATGACCTAAGGTCATAAATAAGTGCTTAATAAATGTCAGTTGGTTTTTCTACCTCCTCAGCAATTTGTAGATCACCTCTTTGGGTGGATTACTTCTTTTGTTTTTTAGATTTTATTTATTTGCCTGAGAGAGAGAGACAGAGATAATGAGAGAGCACAAGTAGGGAGGAGGGGGAGAAGCAGGCTCCCTGCAGAGCAAGGATCCCGATGCGGGACTTGATCGCAGGACCCTGGGATCATGACCCGAGCTGAAGGCAGACGCTTAACGACTGAGCCACTCACACGCCCTGGGTAGATTACTTCTATCTACATTTGCCAGTTTCTTCCATCATTTATTGAGTTTACTCTCAAAGGTGGCATCAGAAGTATCTTACTGTATTTGTTTGGTATTGACCAGAATTTCAGGTGGGGAGAATAAAATTGCCTGGATAGTTCTTGCTATATAAAAAGGTTTTAAAGGAGGATTATTGGAGAGAGAATCATACATTGGAAAGGTTTCAAAAGTGGATTCCTGGGTGTGGTTGCCACTTAGTTTTCCTGAGCCTGTTTCTCCACTTAAAAACCTTTCCATTATGGACTCCTTTAAACTTTTTTATTATAGAAAATTTCAAACATTCAGAAGTACAGAGAATAGTATAATCCACCTGATGTTTCCATTACTTTGCATTAACAGTTATCAATAAATGACCAATCAATTCATCTGTACCCCTCCTCATCCCCTTACATGGAAGCTCATCAGAGAAATCTTACCATTTCATCTGTAAATATTGCAGTGTGTATTTCTAAAAGATATGGCCTCATTCAAATTTAAAGAAAGTGCCAAGAATATACAGGGAACTCCTGTATAAGCTTTACCCAGATTCAGCAATTAACATTTTGTTCTCTTGACTTTATCATTCTTTTTATATGTATAAATTGAGTCATTTGAGAGTAAGTTGGAGACATCGGTCTGTTTTTCTAAATGCAAGGAAATTGTTTTCAATAATCACAGAGTAAACAAGTCAGGAAACCTAATATTAACACAAAACCATTATTCATAGTCCTTAATCAAATTTCATGCACCAGTGGTGTTCGTTATAGCAATATATACTTTCTTAGTTTCGAATAAAATTCAGATTCATTGTATTTTTTTGTCCCTTCTCCTTGTTTTGGAACCAGTTCCTCAGTCTTTGTGTTTTCTGACCTTAACATTTTTGAAGAAAACAGGCCATTTATTTTGTAGAATGTGGCTCAATTTGTGTTCGTGTGGTGTTTCCTCATGATTAGAGTCAGGATATGTTATGGTTTTTTTTTGCAGGTTATGTTTTTTTTTTTTTGTAGGGATGCCATGGAAGTCCTATTGTGTCCCTTTCAGTGCATTGTATTAATAGGCACATAATTGGTTTTGTCCTAATATTGGTTATGTTAGGTTTGGTGATTCGGTCAAGGTGGTGTCCCTTTGTATTTAGTAAGTTATTTTGGGGGAGATACTTGGCAACTATGTGAATAGTTTGTTCTTGGTCAATCTTTAATCTCATTTTAGCATTCTTTGATCATTTAGGATTCTGTAAACAGTATTATCAAATAGCTACTTAGTTTTCATGTTTTTTCTTTTATGAATTTTTTCTTTTTTATAGTTTGTTTAAATCAAGATCCAAATAAGGTTAATAGATTATGATTGGTTGATAGTACTTTAAGTCTCTTTTTTTTCCTTGTCCGTCCACTTTTTTTTAATTGATATATCATCCAAATAGCATAAAATCTGTTCTTTTGAAGTTCACAGTTGAGTGGTTTTTAGTATACCTACAAAGTTGTATAAGTATTACCACTATCTAATTTCAAAATGTTTTCACCACCCAAAAGGAAACCACTTACTTCTCATTCCCCCTTCCTCTCAGCCTCTGGAAGCCACCAATACACTCTCTGTCTCTATAGATTGGCCTCTTCTGGACATTTCACATCAAGGAATCATATAATATGTGTGTGGGGTTTTTTCTTATTGTTTTTTTAAGTAAGTTCTATGC